CTCAGAAGTGAGTAAATTGATTTATGGCATGATGAGTTGTTCGATGGGTGATAAAGTCTGACGGAAAGGGACCACTTTTTGTTTGAAATGTTTGAAAAAATCGCAATGAGTACAGGGCGAGAGATGTCTCAGGGTGGGTGGCTGCTGACTCTGATCAAGTCAGGGGTCACGGCCTGGTGGATTTAGCGGTGATTTTGCTTGTAAGCGTGCGAAGGAGGCCATGCCTATTGAAGGAGGGCTGGTAAATGCCTTCGGACCCCTGCGTATCTCGCAGTGGGCCTGTGATTTTGTTTTGACGCACCCGTTTAACCACTGGTGCTAATTCTGAGACATATTGAAGAAAGGCTAAGCTAACGGAAAAGAAGTTAGTACCTCTAGGGCGTAACCCCATTGGATGGCTGCTAACCAGCGCAACCTGGTTGCGGGACTGCGGGGTAAGAGTTTAAGGGGAGTTACCCGGCCCAGTGAAGTTACTCCGCGAGATAATGATGGTTGAAAATTTTTGGGGAAAATCCTGATTGAGTGCCTATCAGAAGAAACCCTATCGTTGCGTGACCAACGAGGTTACTGCCGTTAAATAACAATGCGGTAGGCCGTAGTCCTGGTCCGATTAACCAGGCTATGGTGGGCCAAGATGGAGACCTGACCTTTCTGTACTAGACTGCAGAAAGAGTGGAGTGAATATTAAGTTTACATATATACTTATATGTATTTGATTGCGAGAGATTTTGAGAAGGAAGGCGAGAGTGCCTTCTAAGGTCTCGGTTAAGGCCCGCGTCCCTAGTTTTTGCCAGGACTAGGGACACCCAACGAGAAGCCGAAGGTTGTCTAGGACCGGGGAGAGGACGATTGGGAAGGTCTTTGGAACTTATGCTGCCAGTGTCCTAATTTCTGGATGGTGTGAGGCCCAAGTTAGAAACCTGGCAGCATATAGTTGTGGAGGCATGGTTTGATGGAGGCCTCTACCCTGTGTTTGTCGGCTAATCCGATTGGCTCCTATTTCGTCAGCATTTGGAATGTGGATGGATTTATAGCTTTCTGATTTGGCGAAGCGACGGGGACGTCGCTTAACATGGTCCGGTAAGCTGTCGGTGCGAATACCCTTACAAGGGTATCCGCCCTGGTTTTTGCAAGTGACAGAAAATAGTTTTGGTCTAGAGTCTAAGTATACCGCGCTAAGCGCGGCTGCGTCGGTAATTGCTTTGACTGGGTGGTTGACTGCAATAGCGAGTGCGTGGGCGCGCAGGTTTGAGGCGCGCGTGATTCTTTTCTGTTATATTGTCGTAAAGCCGGCCCGGACCTCAGTCGTTTTGCTTGGTGATATTATTATTATTTATTTATTTTTGATTAAGCAGGAATTAAGGATATTTTCTTTTGATTGGTMCATTTGACCGAGTCGAGTGCGTGTGTGGAGAACGACTCCGACGACGGCATCGACAATAACGGTGCGATTTCATGCGGTGAGCAGGATGTCGCAGGATGACGCGCAGGGGCAATTACGGCATGGTATAAGCAAGCCGGCGCGGGCACTGGGAGCCGCACAGCTGGTTTGTTGGCCCAAAGCGCCGCGCCACACCGTCTTGTATGGTACTCTGCGGGCGCTGGTATCAGGCTTGGGCTTAGCCCTATAGGTTACGGCATTGGGTTGACGATACGGAGGTTCGGGGATCGAGATTAGCGGGCATCGGCGCAGCAACCGCAGCGGAGCGTCGCGGAAGAGACTAATGGGGTTGAGGGTCCGGCGGGGCTACCCCCCTCTGATTTTATCGATGGGCACGATCTGTAGGGACGCCCGTTAATTTCCCCGTTCTGGTTTTATTATTTTTTTTTTAACCTTTTAAATCCCCTCCTTATTTTTGTCTACTCGCATCCCGCTATGGGGCGCGATGTCGGGCCTAAGGCTRGATCACGTGAAGTATGTCGCCTGWAGTGCAATTACAAACYGTTTTCGTAGTGTTGTGGGTGYGGCAGGCACCCAAGAGCCTAGCCTAGTGAGGTACACCCATGAACTGTTGAAATACAGACCACACTCGATGCCGGATGGGCGGGACTCGGTACTCTGAATTGCCTGGGTCTGCCCAGGCTGMGRTCAGGCCAAGGGTGCCACCTCGAGGCTGCCGTGAGGYGTGAGTCCTTCGAGACATCCGCTAAGGCAGGGCACAACTGAGAAACAATGCGCTATGGGCAACAACCTGCATTACGCGTAGCAGAGAGGGACCGAGTGAAGCGYTGTGGCAACACGAGAARCARACGAATCTAGCCCAGTACTRCGYCGGATGCTTACAGGGCTRGGACRAAGAAACGGAGAGGGGCCGCGGCATACCGATGTGCCAATCGGTTGTTGGATTACCGCCCTACCCCGAATAGAACACCCGGTCACTTTGTATGTATTTGGCCCAACCGTCAGTCTAGAGGCAGCGGAAATGACAGTGCGTTATATTCGGGTGAAGGCGGTAGGTATAGGGGCAAAGACTAATCGAACCGTCTAGTATCTGGTTCACCCCGAAGGGCCCTCAGGCCGGCTGGCTGTCAGGCAGGCGCTGGTCGGTGTAAAGTCGTTCGGGACATCTGTTAAGATTGGAACGATACAGGGCAGGTTGGCATGGGCCGCGGCACCGGTAACAAGTATAAAACAAGGGCGGGTCGACAGCCGAAGTTTTCTTTAAGAGGTGGGGGTTGTCGGACCACGGGGTGAAAGGTTGTGCGACGGGTGACGGGTCCAGTTGGACTGGGCTAGCAGCCGCGTGCGCAGTGAGGCGGATAGCGAAGCGGAGCAACAAACAGCGAAGAGCCAAGCGGAGGGGAGAACAGGGTAGGTGGCAGCGCAGGCAGGGAGAGCGCTGTGACGGGAGCAACGACGAGCTGGGCGGAGAGCGACGGGGGATGATGAAGAGAAGGAAATGAACCTGGACGCGGGCGACGCCAGGTGCATTCAACGTTGAAGGGGGGAGAAGATGGACATGGCGGAGGGGAGAAGCACTTACCTCGCTCGATTCTTGATAGAATCCGGCGGAGAAAAGTGCTAGATCGGGGTTTTTGGTGCTCGCAACCCGGATTCTGTGGTCGGATTTGGGAGAGAGGGAGTAGAATAGGAGGGGCAAAGAGAAGTGGGTGCGCCGGGCTATGGTGGGAGTGACGAAGACAACAAGGAGGAAACGACTATCTCGCTCGTTTCCAAATGGAATGGAGCGAGGAAAGGTTCGAAATGTAGGGCGAAACTGATTCCGGTGTTAGTTTTGGCAAAGAGGTAGTCAGTTAGGAGGTAGGAGGAAAAGATGCCGCGCAAAAACTGTCGGGGCATAGCGGAGTGTCAGAGGTAGAAGAAAAGGAAACGAGTGTTTTGTACTCGTTCGTGGATGAAAACGGGCAAGGGAGGACTCAAGTTTGGGGTTTTCGGGGCTTGCGAACCCGATCGTACAGTTAGTTCGGTTGAAGAGTTAGTAGATAGAAAGTTATTGAGAGAAGTAGCTACACAGGGAGTTGATGGGGATAGAGGTGTGGGACGTGTATTTGCCCGGACGCTCGGGGCAGATTCAGGGATGTACCTACCCGCCTTTTAGCAGAAGATTCATTCGATTTTGCGCACCT